AACATACAGATATAGTATGTACTGTTTAATACATACAATCAGAGAGTTTGTAGTAGGACCTTTTTTTTATTTTATTATCAGTAGGATCTTAAATGTTTGTTCTCCTAAATAACAGTACATGAAGGCTCATGCATAAACCCACATGTTGTCTTTTGCTTTGCACCAAGTCCTATTATTTTAATCTGCCTCGCTGAGATGTAGAATATTTAACACAATGTTAAAATGATTCTTTGTGGTTCTGAATATAATAAATCTCCAGAGGAAGATGTTTTGATTAATAGATTAATAAAAAGCTCAAATTCAGTTCAAATTGTTGCTGTTTTATGTCTTTAGGGACAAAATGCATAAAATATTACATATTAAAGTTTATCCACATTTAAATTTAAGCACTTGTTTAAATAAATCCCATTTACTCCACAATTGAATCTGCATGTGTACAGCTGTCCACCAGGGGGCGCCACATTGTTCTTAAAGGCTTCAAGAAATAAAAGGAGAAAAGAAAGAAAATAAATAAAAAGCCAAATGATTCGACCTGAATAAATAAATAGTGACCAGAAATATCATTTCAACTCATCTACATGTGTTTATATACTTCAGGCAAAAATACAAACTATATGGATTTTTTAAAATTAAAAAATGGAATAGATTTTAATTAACCCTTCATGATCTCTTATTTTTTGTGTGTTTTCTTGAATTCAGATTTCCATGACTTTTGGCTGTTTTCATGCAAAGGACATAAAATTTGGCCAACTTTGTGAATCTGTTTTGTTGGAACAAATTCTACTTTTCATGGTTTATATTCTGAAAATAATCAGCACAATTTTCAGTTTCAGACGAAGAACAGACGAGTTCAGTGGAGTCTGAGTCACTTCTGCATCTTCTGTCCTGTTGCCTCCATCCATATATTACAATTTGATTTCTGCTTGCAGGTTTTCTGTGTTGAGATCCAATTGAATTATCAATCTTTATTGTTTTCCTAGAGAAATGGAGCTTGCAAATTTTTCAGGTGATCTTAGCTTCATTTCAAATCTTTAATGTCAAATCTCAACATTTGAGAAGTTAAAGGTTCTTTTAACCTTCCCATCTTCACTAAATAATATTTCATGGGAATTTTGCATCCAATATTAACAGGCGGTGACATAAAAGTCTCCAACATCTGACTGCAGGATGTTTCCGGGTCAATCAGTGGTTCTGCGGGCCGCAGCTGTCTGACCGACTCTCAGGTGAAGATGCACATGAGGAAGTGAAGGCAGTGAAGACTCTGGAGTCAAATGAGAGATTTGGGATGTAAAATGTGTCTGATGAGGTTAAATATTAGGGAAAGCATCGTTATAAATGTCTGTCGTCTGAAATGCAAATAGTTTGTCCAAGATTTTGCATTTTCAGATGAAAAGCAGGAATCTGGATTTCTGCAGTCAGACTGGAGACCAGTGAATGTGCAGAGATGGAGAAAGTTCTGTGGTTCTTTGCTGCTGCATCAGGCAAGTTTTATTTCTGTGATTTATGGATTTTCCAGAAGAAATGTTGATGTGAAAATGTTTCTTCCCTGCAGCTCTGAGCGCCTCCTCCCACCCTGAACGTCAGTACCATTTCGTTTACGAGCCAAAGAACTGGACCAACGCTCAGAGCTACTGCAGAGAAAACTACCCCGACCTGGTCACCGTGGACAACGAAGACGTTGTGACGATCCTGACAACATGGCCGATCTGCAGCAGATGGACTCCTCCGCTGTCGTAAAGTTTCTTTTTCTGTTTCTTTGCAAAGCTGATTTCAGGGACTTTTTTTACAGTATCTTTTATTGTGGGGTTTTTCCACCACATTTCAATATTTATTATTTTTGTCATATTTGGCTTTACATACATCCTTTGTGATATTTTCATTCTGAACAGACTGACTATGTTTTTTAGATGATAAAATCCCGTTTTAACTATTTGCTTAACATGTGGAATAAAAGTGAGCTCAGAGTTGAGAAGAACGCCGAGGCCTCTGACTTATTTTGAAGGTTTAAAAGATGCAGTTTGTAATTTTTGAATTATAATTTCTTTCTGATCTTCTGGTCCAATGACTAAAAGTTCTGTTTCGTCCTGGTTGAGCAGGAGAAAGTTCTGCAGCATCCAGGTCTTTATGTGTGAAATGCAATGAAAACGTGCAGCGATGGCTGGAGGTCGTCTCGAGACAACGACGTCGTCAGCAGAACCGTGGAAACTGAGTCCTGGTTCCTGATGAATCCACCAAGCAGCAACATGTAAACATTAAACAGCAGAGGGTCTAAAACTAAGCCTTGTGCGACGCCATAGTTAACATCATGGACCTGTGAGGAATGTGGACCGACCATAAAAGTTCTCTCTGTGAGGCAGGAGCAGAACAGAACCAGAACCGACTAGATGCTGTAATCTGAGAGCTTGTGAATCCAGATTACACCTAAAATCGTTTACAGTTTTTAAAAGGTCTCTCTGTTCTGTGATTCGTCCTGAAACCACATTGATACTTTTCTAAAATACCACTTAGTTAAAAAAGTATTTAATTGAATAAAAACAAGTTTAATGTAATGTTTGTGCATCTTATGTAGCTTTAATCTCTTCAGTTATTTACGAAATGTTTAGGAGCAAATATTGGGTTTTTCTTCCAGAGGACCATTTGTGAGGTCAGACACTGATGTGGGATAAGAAGGTCTGGCTGTCAGTCTGCGCTTTAATTCACCACACAGTTGAAGTCAATACTCTGTGTTCTTCCACACCAAACCCAGAATCCTCCGTCAGGTTCGGGTCAAGAACAATTTGAGCCGTCCAGCTGCGTTGGGACGGCTGACTCCTGGCTCATTCCCGGCTCATTCCCGGTGCGCGCCCGGCGTCGCTCCATCCAGCTGTCTGCACTGTAAGACCTGAATGCATCTGTGTGGACCAATTCCATGAAGGACATCTCTTAACCTGCAGCCCCTTCTCTCACAAACGTTTGCAGAAGCAGATTGAACGTGTCAACTCTCATTTTGGGGAAATCTGATGTATTTTTGCGTGTTTCGGTCGGAGAACAAACATCTGGATTTTTCTCAGTGTCTCTCCGCCTTTGGGATGCAGTCAGATGAGGGAGCAGCAGGAAAGATGCACAAACGTAGCGACGAGCCTCAGAAGGAGGCCGTTGCTGAGACGGGAACGGTCCAGTTAATATGCAAGGCAGCAGCTTCAGGTCAAAATGCAAAGCGACACTGAGGAACTGCCAGAAACTCCCATTAAACCACATCAAATCCTCTAATCCTGGGGTTTAGGTTTGTGTCATTGTGCCAGTTTTTCAGCTTTATTTACATCAGGTTTGCAATGGTGATGACTCCTGGACCTCCTGATAACTAATGGAAATGAACTGACTGCATCCCAGGAGCAGAACCAGGACTGGAGCTAAAATCTCGAGATGAAGGCAAAACCTGGAGTCTGGATCCCAGTTTTTGTTATGGGAAGAAATGATTCTTCCAAATCATTTTCTTTTGCATGATTCTGTTATTTTTTTGTTACTTATTAGAATTATTGTCACTTTGGTCCTGAAAATATCACCTAACTTTATATTTTGGTCTGTCTGATGATGAAATGTCTAAATCTGAAGTGATTGATCATGTGATCCGTTACTCGGGACTTTAGATCATTTTGCTGAGTCATTTGTTGGAAAGCTACTTTTTACTTTTACTTTGTTAAAAACATGTTGAAGCAGAGTTGTGCAGGTTTTCTGCTCCTCTGCTCACAGGTTTCCTGTTTTCTGATGTTCAGTAACTTTTGAATTGAATAGTTTGCGATAGAAGCGACAGACTGTGATGCTGAATGTGACTGAATTGGTCTGGTTTCCAACAGGCCTGGATCGGTTTGTACCACAATGAGGTCAGATGGAAGTGGTTCTCTGAAGGTTTTTACCGGAGTGATGAGCTGAACTGGCAGAAATGGGAGTGGAGGGAGCCAAACCTCCAATGGTACATCCCGTCATGTGGGGCGATGGACAAAGCTGGGTGGTGGTACGATGTGCTACAATGAGTCAGGTAAGAATCTGGTTTCATTTCGTCTTCCTGCTTCTTGGTTACAGTTTAGCTAGTTTTTATAAATACTTTTACCATTTGGGGGCCAACAGGCACAAAGCTCAGCAAAATGTAATTATTGCAGAATATATTAATAAAACCCATTAATATCATAATAGATAAACATGAAACAAAACTTTCATATTCAGTTAAAAAAGGAGAAGAAAAAAAGCGAAATTCATTAAATCCGACTCACAGCAAAGCTAAATACACATCAAATAACATCAAATAATCATCATCAAATAATATTTAAGCATACAAAAGTTATCTTGAACCTCTACTTGAGCGGCCATCAATAATCCTGAGGACCACAAAATGGTTCTAACAGGCCGGACTTGGCCCACGGGCCTCAAGTTGAAGACCTGATTTCACCTGACCAGGAGAAAGAAAATGCTTTGTCTTCTTCAAACACGCAGTTTATTACAATATTTATAAAACAGAAACATATTTATGCTTTCTGTAGATAATATTACCTGCTCCAGACTCCCCCTAGTGTGGTGTGGAGCAAGTTTGCAGCGTTTATCTGTGCCATAGTTTTAGTATTTTCCAACATTTTATCTTTTGCTTCTATTTCCTGGAGTTGCAGCATTTTCTGTTTTCATTTCTTTTGTTCATTGAAGGATTTTGCTGCTTTTTTCTGTGATTGCATAACAGGATTCAAGAGTCTAAATAAAAAAAATTGCTTTTACATTCATAAACAAGCAAAAATATCTCAAATTTTTCCACATTAGTACCACAAACACTTTAATTTCCATTGCAGAAACTCAGATTTAGCTGGCTGCTTTGTGAATAAATGTTGACATGTTGAAGTTTTGGTTGTTGATAAAAGGTCTTCAGGCCTTCAGATTCAGGCTCTTATTTTGAAGTTAGATGTAAAGAAAATCTTTTCTTGGGTTCAGTCAGCAGCTGTCAGCCAACATAAGTCAGACAGAAACCAAAGTGATTCTAGTTTCTGTGGTTTTCAGAAGAGGAGACGAGCGTTGTCTTCGTGAACGCCGAGATGAACTGGGAAGAGGCTCAGAGCTTCTGCAGGGATCACTACACTGACCTGGCCTTTCCCAGGAGCCAGGCAGAGAACGAGGAGATAGCAGCAGAGATACCAGGCGGCGTGTTGGGCTGGATCGGCCTCTACAGAGAGTCCTGGAAGTGGTCGGACGGACACATGTATCTGTTTCAGAACTGGCTACAGGCCAAACCTGACAGTCAGAGCGAGCTTTGCAGCGTTGCCAGATTTAGCAGCTCTGGCGGCTGGGATGACTGGAACTGTGACAAACTGAAGCCATTTATCTGCCATGATGGTGAGCTGCTCCTCAGTCTGAGCTTAATGGAAACGTGAAGGTCAGTTTGTGATGCTAGAAGGTAAAAACTCTTCTGTAGAAGAAGAATGTGGTTCATTCTCTAACTTTTCTGCTAAATTGTTATAATGTTACAGTGAATCTCTGCTGAACTCTATTGTTCTGACCAAAACTCCTAAGAATGTATGCAAACGGCTTAATGGAGAAGCACTGTTGTGATGATGTCTGAAAGGGGCGTGTCAGGAAGTGTAGGAGGTTCTTAAAGAGACAGAGGCCAATTTCAAAATGAAAGGTCAAAGTTCAGTTGGAGGAAACAGTGACTTGATTGTGTAAAACACTGACTCTGTCTCTCCGACGCCAGAACAGTCTCTCTGCAAACAGCATTCACATCCGGGACCCAGAGTCTCTTTTCTAAAATACTTTTCTCCCCTTAACTCTAATAAAATGTTATAAATATTTGTTTTAAAGACCCTCAACCCTTCACAACACAAGTGGTGAAAGTGAAGCTGGTGTTGAACTCGGCTCTGGATCTGAACGACCCGGCGGTTCTGGAAAACATGAAGGCGGAGGTAAAACATCCCAGAACTCTGAGTTTTAGCATTTAAGCTCAAATATCATTGAATCCAGAAAACTTTGAAGCGTGTCAGTGAAATGTTGGGATGAATCAGTAACTGCTGTGTTTCAGCTCCGCCTGATGCTGGATCAGCAGGGCCCAGACGTCAAGCTGAGCTGGAAGAAACAGCAGGACGGAAAAATCTTCCACCAGGAGGAGGAAGAGGAGAAGCTGCAGTGAGACGACGACAAGCTGATGAGACTTTCTCAGCTCTTCTAACATGTTTTAAAATGAAAATTTGTAAATCCATATTAACAGCAAAATGATGCGGTGATGTGAGATTTTCTTTTAGTCACAGTTATTCAACGTGTTTGAAACATTATTCAAACCTGATCAGTTTAAATCGCTGAGTTTTCAGTTTGATTCATGCATCTCTGCCGTCAGGCTCAGCAGTTTTGATTTACTTTTGCGTTTCCTCTATGATCACTTCTGGGTTTGTTGTTGTCATTTAGGTCTTGCCATATTCAGATAATGTTTCCCTTTTGGTTTGTTGATCGTTTTCATCTTTAGTTCACCTCGGTTTATGTTAAATATCCTCCTGCCGTCTTTCTAACAGCTGTTTCACTCCTCTGATTCGCTCACCTGGTTCTGATCTCATTAGCCATTAGCCTGCCTCCCTATTAGAGCTCTCTGGTTTGCATTGTTCATTGCATGTCCTGTTAACAGCATTGTATGTCTTAATTTTTTGATTATTAAAATCATCTGGCTTCATCTTTGTGGTTCTGTCCAAATAAAACCAAACAGAGGACGCCATGTTTATTCCTGACCATGAGTTCTGCACGTCTGCACCACTGCTGCAGAATCAACACGCCTGTTTCAGCAGCAGTGTAGTATTCTGCTGCATATATACATAAAGGTTCCCTCACATCAGCATGCTGGGTGTTTGAAACAGAGAGTGAAACTGACAGCTTGACCTTCATACTGACTGATTTGGTTCACAATTATCAGACCAGATGGAGTTTGAAAATTTCATCCCATTGGGAACAACAATGGGTCAGATGTTCCCAATGGGAAATTTAAATGTTGCAGTTAAATCTTGCAGGATGGATGAATAGTTCATTAATTCAGATTCTTATTTAGTCTTATTCTTACTTATTGTGTGACAGGATTTGATAGTCCAAAGACCTCCTCACATTTAGACCCATGTGTTTTATTAGACTGGCAGGAAATCCATCCATCCATCGTCTGCCGTTCATCCGGGTCGGGTCGCGGGGTCAGCAGCTTCAGAATGAATCCCGAGATACTTGAACTCTTCCTGGGGGAAGACACTGTGCCTAGAAATTCTGTCCATGAAAGTAATGAACAGAATCGCCCTGGCGGAGTCCAACCCACCGGGAACGAGCCCGACTTATTGCCGGCGATGTGGACCAGACTCTGACACCGGTCATCCAGGGACCTGACAGCCCGTATCAAAGGGCCCGGTACCCCAGACTCCTGGAGAACCCCCACAGGGCACCCCGAGGGACACGGTCGAACGCCTTCCCCAAGTCTACAAAACACATGTTTTGTAGACTGATCCGGGCCCGTCTGACGGGCCCGGATCAGTCGGTACCGTGATGTGCTCAGCTGCAGGCGGAGGTTTCAGATGGAGGCTGCAGACGTTGAGCCAAACCCGGCCCGCTACACAGCGGACCGCGCTCACAGGTATTACAATGGCTGCTGGAACGACGTTCCCTGCCAGTGGCTGTATGAATTCATCACCAGTGGTGAGATTTTATATCAAATCCAGATTTAATAACTGGCAAAAAGAATTTTATTTTTAAGGTTTGCTCATGAATAAATGTAGGGAAGCATATATATATTGGTAAATATCAGTAAATAAAGCAGTATTAATATCAGACATCAGTATTAATCTGCTGAAGCTTAGAAAATTTACCACTTGCAGTAATAAGTCATTATTCAGCCAAAATGGGGAAACTCAATATCTGAAATTATATTTAATGTAACAATAACAATAAAATTGATCATCCTTGTTAGTTTAAGAGATAAATTCCCACTTTGTACATCATTTTGTCCAGACGGGCCGACAGGAGGCCCGTCTGGACTCGCTGCACGGTTCCGCTCAGGCTGCTGTGATCAGGATGTTATGAAGAAAATGTATTTTCCACTTGGTCCAGAAAGCTACTCTCGTGTTTTGTGACCTGCAGCAGCACAGCGGCTCTGGCTACTGCACACGGCCCAAAGAAAAGCTGCCATGTTTCTGCATCACTTCAAGATTCCTGCTGGTCCAGAAAAGACACAAACCACGACATCAGTGAAGACAATGTCCAGGGTAAAGAGGACATTTGGACACCCTATGAATGATTTCGAGCCATTTCAGATACAAACATGAGTGTTAAGAGAAACTTGATTAACTGTTGACTGATTGCATGGAGGTGAGTCACAAATCAAAAACAGATGAAAGCCTGGAACTGGAGGCGTTTCAACCCGTCTCTTTGCTTCTCTTCTGGTCTGTTTCCAGGACAGGACGCATCATTTTTCTCCATGAGCGGATCAGTGAACTGGGCCGACGCTCAGAGCTACTGCAGGCTGCAGCACACAGACCCGGCCGGCGTCAGGAGCCTGCAGGAGAACGAGCGGACCTGCAGGTCTGACCGTCTGGACCGGCCTCCACAAAGACACCTGGTCCAACAGAAACCTGTTCCTGTTTTCCTCCTGTGCATCAGGACAGACATAAGGACGGGCATAAGGACAGACATCAGGACGGACATCAGGACAGACATAAGGACGGGCATAAGGACAGACATCAGGACGGACATCAGGACAGACATCAGGACAGACATCAGGACGGGCATCAGGACAGACATCAGGACGGACATCAGGACAGACATAAGGACGGGCATAAGGACAGACATCAGGACGGACATCAGGACAGACATCAGGACGGGCATCAGGACAGACATCAGGACGGGCATCAGGACAGACATCAGGACAGACATCAGGACGGGCATCAGGACATCAGGACAGACATCAGGACGGACATCAGGACGGGCATCAGGACAGACATCAGGACGGGCATCAGGACAGACATCAGGACGGGCATCAGGACAGACATCAGGACAGACATCAGGACGGGCATCAGGACAGACATCAGGACAGGCATCAGGACATCAGGACAGACATCAGGACATCAGGACAGGCGCCAGGCAGCGCGGAGATTCAGCCGTCCGCTCGGTGGGAGGACAGTCCTTCCTCTGGTTGGACCAAAGGACAAAAGAGGACAACACGCCAGAAATGACCTTGAATCTGATCAAACGTAATGATTGAAGTCTTTTCTAAACATGCAGCATTTTGAAACAGGAGCATGTTTATAAAGGTAATGCCTCCCTCTATAAATTCTTTTTTGTTATTTCTTTTTTCCCTTTTTCCTGTTCCTTGTTATTTCTTTCTATTTCCTTTCCTTTACTTTCTTTTACTTTCTTTTTTTTCTAACTCTTTCTCTGCCAACACTGATAATGTTCTGCACTAGTAAATAAAAAACCTATAAACATCATAACAATAACCTTAAACAATATTTGTGTCATTTTTACTGTCTGTTTATGAACCAAACCTTCATCCATAGCCCAGTCTAAACGGGGACAGCGCCCCCTGCTGGACGCAGTTAATCTGCACCATGTAAACCAGTTTCATTGATGCAATAAACGTTTTTAATCTAACAGTAAAAATCATATCAGCCCTCAATATTTCATGGTTTTAAATTTTAAATCGGCCATTTTTGTTTTCAACATGTGGAAAATCGGATTCTGTCACATTTAGTGTTCCATATCATTAAACTAACTGTAATATTGCTCAACAATTATTAGAATTAACACAACATGCAGTTTCTAAATGATTTCATTCAGTAAGGAAACAAAAAACCTTTGTGTTTATTTATTGGTAGTTTGATTTCAACCATTAAATGTGGACCAATAATAATAATATCTCTTAAACTAACACATAAACACACTGTAATAACTTTAAGTCTTTATAAGAAACTCAGAGTTTAAGAAATAAAAGAAAAAAATTAACTCTTCAGTTTCCCTTTTGGCTCAACAGAGTATTTTTTTTTTGAATTTGAATAAGGATGTCAGTTTTTATAGCAGAGCTTTTGCAAAGGCATTCATGTTTTTATTTAATTCTCATTTCTAAATATTAATGTTTGTGACGGGTCGGATCGGGTCCCACAAGTTTGTTGACAGAGTGAAGGAGGAACAGAAGCAGTTCTGGATGAAATCTGATATTCAAACACCAGACGACCCGTTTGAGTCAGACACACCCTGGAGATCGGCCTATCCAAAGTAAACAGGCTCTGATGAGTCAGCAGTTTGCTGGAATTAAAAATTATAATGAGGTCAGAGTCGATTAGTTTGACTCTTGAAAAGCTTCGATTCAAACAGCTTAAAGTCATTAAAATGGTTAAACTGAGAGGCTCCAGTTATGTCTGATCCTGGGTTGTTGGTTCAATTCCTTTATGCTTTTGTTGAGTTAGTAAATACTTTTATTCATCTACTTTCATTTCTTCACGTCTAAAATGTTCGGTCAGCAGATTGTTGAGCTGAACCAAAATATTATTAAAGGGAAATTATTTATGGGAAAATCTCTGGATATGCAAAAACACATTAAATTTAATAAACAATAATTAAAATATATTTTATCCCAAAGAGAAAAGAAACACACCCAACATGTGTTTGAGGTCTGCTGGGGTTCAGTGACTGAAGCTCAGCTTGCATTAGTTCTATTTTATCACAAAGAATGAAAGTATCTCTAAATATGAGAGTTTAACCCGGAAACATTCAGGAACATTTGGAAACATGATGACGGCTGCGCATGTGGATCCGATGGCTGTTTGCTGCTTTGCCTCTGTTGTTCTAAGGATCAAATGATGGAAGATCAACAGAAGACAGATCAGATGAAACAGGAAGCCCAACCCTGAAGGCAGCTTCCTGGACAGGAACCAAATCCAGTTGCAACAATTCTGCTCCCAATAAACCAAGAAAATAATTCTGTTTGACTTTAAAGCTCTTCAATCCAAATGAAGTTTAATAAAGTCATTCATTCATATTTATGGATCTCAGAAATGAGAGGGAAAAAGTTTCCAGAAGTTTATGAAGCGATTGATCATCTTACCTAAAAAAACACACATAAGCAGCAACATGCAGAGAACAGCAGCAGAACTAAAACTTTAAACGTTTGAGCTGCCAGATTCTGCAGACTTCACACAATCAGCC